TATCTATCTATCTATCTATCTATCTATCTATCTATCTATCTATCTATCTATCTATCTATCTATCTATCTATCTATCTATCTATCTATCTATCTCTCTATTCATATTTATAATTGCCTTAGAAGATCTTCAGAGAAGAAAACAGTGTATGCCATTGTAATCAATAACTAGCGTACATCACAGTATTGAAATCTCCCTGCCAGTCTAAATGCCAGGTAGCCTGTGAGTATGAATACGCACCCTTCTCAAGCATAGGCTTCAGCACAGATTCTTGGAAGATTCTATTTCCCATCCACCTCCGCTTCTTCTTATAGAGGAAAAAAACTTCCTTTGTTCTTTTAAAAGAAGAAAGTGAATTCCGGGAAACAGAGCAAGAAGTTATTGTCCTTGTGCTAGGAAAAGAAGTTCGATGTGCTATCACTCCAACAGCTTTGATAAGTAGCTGGAATTACCGCAAGAGGCTGCAACAGATGACTTTTTGTTGGGATACTTTTACAACTTATCGAGGAGATAAAGAAATATGTAAATATATTTGGCAAGAGCTGCATTAAATTCTAATTTCTTTTGCTTTGTCTGCTTATGTTCAGAAATCTATGCTGTAGATTTCTGTTTGAAAATAATTGTGTTTTATATGCAGAGTCAGGAATCAGGCATATTCTAGAAGATCTAAGTTCTAAGAAGGAGAAATACTATCTGTGGTAGATCAGCACAGCTTGTCTATTTGGAGGAGTATTTGTCTTTTTGAAAAAAAATGCTGTATCTGCTTCAACATAGAAGCTTTGTATTTTGAGTGTTTAAAGTTAAAAAGAATTATAACATACCTTTAAAAAAATGCTTTTGTTCACCATTTGTGAAATTGAGCTATTTTCCAAAAAGGAAAAGAAACTCTGGTCATCTCCTTTACATTATAGAACAAGGAAACCACACTTTAAGAATTAATTCCCCTCCTTATCAGAGATTCTTTTGAAACCAGTCAGAATGTTCCACTCAATAAAGACAGGAAGGCATTAGAAATTAGATTTATTTTGCATCCCTTTATAGTAACTTTTTAAACAAGGATATGTTACAGAAGAGAATGTTTTTCATTTCTTCAACTGCAACTTATAAAACCAATGTATTATTGCTAGCATTCTATCTATATCTACTGTATGCCTTATTCCTAGTGTCCTTATCTAGTCATACTTCTATCCCTAAATCAATATTCTTAGTGCTAAGCTATTGCTTTCTCTATTTTCTATAAGTTTTATATCCACACTATCCTTTATATCCGTGAGCCATGGTGGCGCAGTGGTTAGAGTGCAGTACTGCAAGCTACTTCTGTCCTCTGTCTGCAATGTGGCAGTTCAAATCTCACCAGACTCAAGGTTGCCTCAGTCTTCCATCCTTCTGAGGTTGCACATAGTATTGTGTTATCGGCAGCTGAATTCTCCTGACATTGGTTAAGGGCTGAAAAGATGGGACGGAATTACACTTATACTTCAAGGCAAGACTGGACAGATCCAGAGAGCTTCTAGGATGGAGATTTAAGACCTCCAGCCTTTTATCCAAGCAGCTCAGCCTAGCTCAGTGTTGGCTAACCTTTTTCCCATCGCATGCCAAAAGCGGGGGCAGCGCAAGGGGGTGCCCACACCCATAATGCTATGCTCGCGACCCCCACCCTCTCCCCCGCTTTTGGTATGTGATGGGTCCATTTTTTGCCCTCCCCACGCCCCAGAAGGTTTCTAGGATTCTGGGGAGGGTGAAAACAGCTTTCCCTGCCACCCTGGAGGCCCTCTGGAGGCTTCAAGAGGCTTCCCTGAAGCCTCCGGAGGATGAAAAATACCCCTACGTAAAAACCAGGAGTCACTTCCGGGTTTGCCCATGAGGCCCTTTTTGGCCCTCCGGAGCCTTCAGGAGGCATCCCTGAAGCCTCTGGAGGGCAAAAAACGGCCCTGGGGCAACCCGGAAGACTTCCAGTTGGCCCTTAAGGGTGCTTTTCACCCTCTGGAGACTTCAGGGAAGCGTACGGAGGGCGAAAAATGGCTGACAAAGAAGGCCAAAATCAGCTGGCCAGCATGTGCATGTATGCTGGAACTGACAGAGCAACATCTCTTATGTCCTAACAATTGGCTCCTTATGTTCGCCATCATGGGCCTAGGTACTACAGTCACAAAAGGCTCTTTTACATTACTTGCTGATTGAGCTAGAGCAGGGGTGTCAAACTGAATTTCATTGAGGGACGTATCAGGGCTGTGGTTCATCTTGGGGGGCTGGGTAGGCATGGCTGACTGGGTGGGTGTGGCCAACTGGCTGGGTGTGACCAATTGGGTGGGCATGGCTAGCTTGACGCCACTCCCCAAACTGCTGGTATGTTTCCTCTTTGTACTGGGTAGACCAGGCCGAAACTACGCTTGCCTGATCTTTCCTCTTCGCATTGGGTAGACTAGGACAGCCCCACAGGCTGGATCCAAGGTCACAGACTGCATCCAGCCCATGGGCCTTGAGTTTGACACCCCTGAGCTAAAGCTATCACACTAATAACTTTAGGGAATGTGCTCTTCAGACAGAACTTTCATCTCCTTTCCAACCCCCTGGAGAAGCAATATAAATTTGTCCTTAGCTGCTCCCATTGTTGTATATCTCATTCTAACAAAAATGTCAACTAGGTGATGATATGGTTGGGAACTGAAAAAGTTCCTCTTGGGTTGGTTCAGGCTGTTGTGGGAATATTGCTCACCTCCATTATTGGCCTGGACTACAGGAAAAGAGCTCTCTGTATTCTACAAAGTTATCAATTTGTATAAAGTCTGACTCATGCTTCATATAATGCCATTTAAACATTGCGTGGGCTTCTTATATGAATGTCTAATTTGGTCTTCTGAAGATGACTATAATCTTTTTAAAAGACAGGTTCAATAGTTTTTTAAAAAACATTTAGACCTACGCATAAAAAGGAGGAAGAAGAGAGGGCTACTGAGTTGGGAAACAGAGGTATTTTCTGCTGCTCCCCTTTATTGCTTTGAGAAAGGATCAATACATTTTGACTAATTTCACATCATTGTGCCTATGCTATCAGGCATATGCTATGCTATCATTGGGGTGCTTCCAGATGTGGCCATTTGCTCAGGGGTGAAATCTACTTACCTTTGCTACCGATTCACAAATGTCAATGTGCATATGTGCAGAGCGTCAGAAATGGACGTGATGACATCTGGGTGGATGGGCAGAGCCTGCTACCGAGCATGCCTGCAAAGGTAAGTAGAACAGGGGGGGGGGGGGAATCTGTTGTGCCACGTGATTTAGATTATCTAGAAAGCAGGAAATCTTGCTTTCGAGCTAATATAAGTTGTGCATCACAGCTGATCGTCAGAAATACTGATTCATTTTTTTTACTACCTGTTCAGGTGAACTAATAGCATTTTTTTACTACATGTTCGGGAGAACTGGTCCGAACCAGTATCATTTCACCCCTACATTTGCTGCCATGCTCTCGCAACATATATTGATTTGAGAGTTAGGATGAAGTTGATTAAAAATGTGTTGGTTTCTCTTCTTAGGCAGGTAACCGAATGACTAGTAAACCTGTCCACCAGACTATTACTCTTCTGAATGAGTGAAAAAAACTCTTCCAAAAGAACCCCAAACAAACCTAGCTGACTAGTTGGGGAGGTGAATAGTGCAAGACAAACCAACAATGCACTTCACAGGCTCCCTGTTCCTTCATCGCTCCCCCTTCTCCTCCACCCCTGATCACTCTTTCAGAAGGCCGATATACTCATGTCCAGAAATATCCTTAGTGACAGGTTACTAGTGCAAAGCATCTCCAATCCAGTGAACTGTCACTCCTGCAACCTGAAA